GTCTGCCCCCCTTCCCTGCCCCCAACCAACTGTCCGAGAAGAGCACAGAAAGTTTCACCTTGCATTTCAAATAAGAAGATAAAAATAAGAAAGTAAATTGAGGTAGAATCAGGTTTATGTGGCTGCCACTGCTACGACACATTCAACTTGATGCCCTTATATTATTTGCAGAAGTGTTTATGTACTATGAAATGTTCAGCCAGAGCATACAGGAAACTATAAAATATTTTATGAGATGTATACATGGTTGATGGTAGAATTTTAAATGCAATTTGGGAAGGTTCTATCTAAATTCCAGGAGGGCAGATGAGGAAATACTTTCTCTGTAGTGACTCAGTTTTACATAAGGGGTTATATGAACTGGAAAGAAATACCTGATTTGGGAACTATACAAAATTTTTTTCATAAAATTAAATTTTATAATTTATAGACAAGTAAAATTGTTTTCTTTCAGACCAAGAATCACAAGTTATGTTTATTTGTCTTCTATGTGGTAAAAGCATTAAACATGGATTGTTTATTATTTTATAGGAACAAAGAACATGCAGTAATAAATGAAGAATCCTCCCCAGATACAGGAAGTATATACACCATTAAAAAATATTTGTGCTTCTGACGGTTTTTAAATAACAACTCTTGGTTCTAAAACTGGAACAATATTTTTGAATCTCAACTATTGCAATACGTGAAGGCAGAAGGTTAATGACATATCCTCAAAATGGCATGTTTAGAAAGTTGCATTTCCAAATTCAGGTGAAGGGAGAAATATATTTCTGTTTCCTTTATCCTCAAGTCTATAAGGCAGTGCCAATTTCCCATAAGAGAAGTTATTTATTTACTTATTTATTTTCAAATTCCATCTCCCAAACACAGGCCTACAGAAATAGAAACTATTTTGTGTATTCACATTTGATTTACAATTAAGCCTGACTTTTTGTTTATTTTTGTTTTATTTATTTATTTAAAATTTTAATTTTCTATTGGAGTATAGTTGATTTACGATGTTGTGTTAGTTTCAGGTATACGGCAAAGTGATTCAGTTATATAACCTACACATATACCTATTCTCTTTCAGATTCTTTCCCCATATAGGTTATCACAGAGTATTGGGTAGAGTTCCCTGTGCTATGCAGTAGGTCCTTGCTGATTTTATATACAGTAATGTGTGTATGTTAATCCCATCCTCCTAATTTACCACCCCTCCCCCACCTTTCCCCTTTGGTAACCATAAGTTTGTTTTCTAAGCCTGTGAGTCTGTTCTGTTTTGTAAATAAGTTCATTTGTATCATTTTTTAGATTCCACATATAAGTGATATCATATGATATTGGTCTTTGACTTCACTTAGTGTGATAATCTCTAGGTCCATCAATGTTGCCTCAAATGGCATTATTTCATTGTTTTTTTATGGCTGAGTTATATTCCACATATTTTTATGTGGTACATAAGTACCACATCTTCTTTATCCATTCATGTATCGATGGACATTTAGGCTGCTTCCATGTCTTGGCTATTGTAAATAGTGCTGCAGTGAACACTGGGGTTGCATGTATCTTTTTGAATGATGGTTTTCTCCAGATATATGCCCTGGAGTGGGATTGCTGGATCATACGATAGCTCTACTTTTAATTTTTAAAATTTTTTTGATTTTTTTTTTCAATTTTTGGCTGCGCTGTGCAGCTTGTGGGATCTTAGCTCCCTGACCAAGGATCAAAACTGAGCCCCCTGCATTGGCAGTGCGGAGTCTTGACCACTGGACCTCCAGGGAGGTCCCTACTTTTAGTTTTTTAAGGAACCTCCATACTGTTCTCCATAGTGGTTGTACCAATTTACATTCCCACCAACAATGTAGGAGGGTTCCCTTTTCTCCATACCCCCTCTAGCATTTATTGTTCATAGACTTTTTTTTTTTAAATTCATTAATTAACTTATTTATTTTTGGCTGTGTTTGGTCTTCGTTTCTGTGCGCGGGCTTTCTACAGTTGCGGTGAGTGGGGGCCACTCTTCATCACGGTGCGCAGGCCTCTCACTGTCGTGGCCTCTCCCGTTGTGGAGCACAGGCTCCAGATGTGCACGCTCAGTAGTTGTGGCTCACGGGCTTAGTTGCTCCACGGCATGTGGGATCCTCCCAGACCAGGGCTCGAACCCGTGTCCCCTGCATCGGCAGGCAGACTCCCAACCACTGTGCCACCAGGGAAGCCCCTGTTCATAGACTTTTTGATGATGGCTGTTCTGACCGGTGTGAGGTGACTGTAGTTTTGATTTGCATTTCTCTAACAATTATTGATGCTGAGCATCTTTTCATGTGCTTTTTGGCCATCTGTATGTCTTCTTTGGAGAAATGTCTATTTAGATCTTCTGTCCATTTTTTGATTAGGTTATTTGGGTTTTTTTTTTATATTGAGCTGCAAGAGTTGTTTGTATATTTTGGAGATTAATCCCTTGTCGGTTGCTTTGTTTGCAAACATTTTCTCCCATTCTGTGCGTTGTATTTCTGTTTTGTTTATGGTTTCCTTTGCTGTGCAAAAGCTTTTAAGTTTAGTTAGGTCCCATTTGTTTATTTTTGTTTTTATTTTCATTATTCTAGCATCAACATCACGAAGTCACTGGGAAGATAAATGAACTACCAAAGGTAAGGTTCCTGACACAAAGTAGGTGCTCAAAGTATGCTAATTCCCCTCTCCCCTGCTTACAGACCTCTTTTTTAAAATTGATGTATAACTGGCATATAACACATTATTTAATTAACATCACAGTCCCTCTGAAGATTTTAATATAACGCTTATGCTTTAGGATGTGTCCATAATTAGAATCATTTAAAAAATAAATCTAGGTTATTGTCTAAGATAAACATGCCATAAAACCCTGACGTGTCTTGGTAATATCTAACGCAAACCCAGTATGGTGGAGTATAAGACTAGATAGACTGATAACTAGGGACCACGGTCTGGTCTCTGGTCTGTCATAGCATTGCTGAGTGACATTGGTAATGTCAGTTTCCCTCTCCAGGCCATCATTTTCCATCTGTACAATGAGTGGCTGTTTTCAATGATCTTTAAGACCATCTTCCATTCTGACCGTTTATAATTCTACAAAACAATTTAATCTTTAAAGAAATTTATTTAAGTCACATTTTCTGAAACTTTCCCTTTATAAATTTTTTTTCCCCCTATACTCACTGCTTAAGGAAATTTTATTTCACTTCAAATTTAGTGTTGTGGAGTCAGAAAAAGAACCTAAGTGTAGAAAAGAAAAAAAAAGAATTACAAATATTAATATTGAGCCATTACGGGGACATCTAGGCTGGTTCGGGACAGACATAAATGACCTTGTTTTATTCTAAATTCAGCTCACTGGCTTATGATGAAAAGTGAAAGGTTATTATATGGACTTACTGGGCAAAACCAGATTTTATAAATAATTACCTGTCAGACTGTTCAAGATAGACAAACATACGCCAGACCAACAAAAACACAGACCTGTCATATTTCTGAGAGAAATGTACGTTGAGTCTTCCTTCTCTGGGACTATAAGGAGATCAGGTAGAATAAAATGAAGGGAAAAAAAATCTAAACCCTATATTTTCTGCCTTGTGCATACTTTAAAATGTATAATGTGGGAGAGGAGGAATTTCGATGTGAAAAATCGGCTCCTGAAAATTTTACACATCTATAAGCCTGGCATAGAAACCAAATACAATAAATGCTGTCGTTTTAAAAGTTAGGATGTTTACTGCAAGCTTGTAATTTTCCATGATTAGGGATGCCAAGAAAAATAAGAATGATGATAAAAAGAAAAGTTTAATCATACATTTCACCAAGCGCAGATGGAACATCAAAACCCTTTGGCAATTTTTTGATATTATATATCTGCATTTTTTTGTTCTTGACATGAAGATTTTTTCCAGAAGGACTAACATAGAACAGGTAAGTGATAGTTAACAAATGTGAATAATATGGCACAATCACATTAACTGAGCCTCACTACGATTTGGTCAGAGGAGGAAAATCTTTCATGCTTCTCATTTCTGTTTCTATTAATTCTTTACAAAGGCTATCTCGGTGTGTGTAGAAACCATGATAAAAGTAAAATTATACAAAACTCCTAAAGAATTAAAGAAACAACTTCCTTCTTTGCAATTCAAGTTCAATCAAGAACAGTATATAACTGCTATATTTTAGTTCGCTTCGTTACAGTTCCTCGTTTACTGGAGAAAGTATAGATGCCAGAAGGATAACTCAGCTGCTACCAGCAAGAGACTGCCCAGCCCACATTTCAGTCTAGGTGTTAGTGCTTTGGAGGGAGAAAGCAGATCACTTGGCTCCCCATCCATCGATTCTAACCGCTTTGCTTCTAAATGGGTACAGCGTGTGTGTGAGGGCTGGGCCTGGGGATCGGAGAGACAGGGGAAGGAGAAAAATGAAGATGGGGAAGAGGGTCTACGAGGGGAAAAACACACGATAGGTAGATACTCAGGAAGTTGGGAAGAGGCCATGAAAATGACACATATACTACACGTGGGGTGAAGGGAAGAGAAGATGGGAACAGCCAGTTCATCAGGCCAATTAGGTCTTTGATTAGTGTGAGTTTATAAGATGGACATTTGTCTGTAAAATACATGTAGATCTAGACATCAAATGTCAGAAGGTAGAGTTGGTGGGACAGTGCAAGGGGAAAACTGACTGTTCTTTTAATTTTGTTTCCTTTGTCCTAAACCTGGATTACAAAATGCATCAAATAAAACACAGACTAAACACTGAGAAAAAAAAAAGTCACTGCTTTTAAGTTATGTGAGCTGAGAGCAGTAAATCGATTCCAAATTAAAATCTCAAAATTGTGTGATGTGCATTCTTGTCCACCTACACACCATCCCAAACATCCTGCCATTAATTGGCTAAATGGCCCATCTAGTAAACAAGACTAAGCATTGAGGGGGCTGGAAAAGGGCTGGAGTCAGCCAGTTGATAGTCACAACAAACCAACCCACTCCCGAGGATGCGGAGAAGGTAAACTTGTATTTTATTTTGCCCAAGGAGGGGAACAGAAATCACCTTAATATAACATTGCCTTTCCTGTTGTCTCAGTCACAGTCACATCAGCAGGCCAGAAAAGCCATCCCATTCCTGCGGTAGGCACTCTGTCAAAGAAAAAGAAATCTGCAGTGAATTATCACATCAAGTCAAACCAGGAAAGGAAGCAAAAGAGCAAACAGAACTTTCTTCCTGTTTTGTAGACTCTGCTGGCTACAATCTAATAGGGTGCTTAATCTGAACATTTCTGGTGGCAAAGCTTTAGCAGCCACTCTGTTAAAAAGTCAGTGTGGTTAACAAGTGGTTAGTGATTCTATTTTGGGGGAGTGGGAGATACCTAAAATAAGACATCCCATTTTGTTAATTGATTGGGCTTGGTTAGGCCAAAGACATGTTGTGTTGAATCTGTTTGTCCTTTATAAACATGTGCTCTCTATTGGACATGCCCAGGAATCATTTCTAACTAAGTCTCTTAATAGTCTGTAAATTACTGACTCATTATATCCTTCCCAGGCCTAATTTACAGTGTCAGCGAAAAGCTATGGGAACAGATACTAACAGAGCCCCCCCCCCCCACCCCACTCACAAATATGGTGATGTCTAAGGAATCCTGTACATTATAGACATTACAGAAAACCTGAATCTTACATAATTTTATAGACATTCATGTACATATAGATGTATAAATGGATATTCATGATGGGATAAAAATACTCCCATAAAAGAAAAATGGGAAAATAGATACTAATTGCAATAATGCAATATATTCCAGTAAAGAAAGTAAAATGGCGTGATTTCTCACCCCAAGAGATATATTCTGCATTTCAGAGTTGGAAACAAATATGGGATGTCTAAGGAATCCTGTACATTATAGACATTACAGAAAACCTGAATCTTACATAATTTTATAGACATTCATGTACATATAGATGTATAAATGGATATTCATGATGGGATAAAAATACTCCCATAAAAGAAAAATGGGAAAATAGATACTAATTGCAATAATGCAATATATTCCAGTAAAGAAAGTAAAATGGCGTGATTTCTCACCCCAAGAGATATATTCTGCATTTCAGAGTTGGAAGACTTGGGCCATACAGGGCCTCTGTGACTCGTCCTGATTCTCACAATGAGACCCAGAGTGAAGCAGAATTAAAATCCGGGATTTAGGAATAAAATACCCCTTTTCACCACCATAGTTTTCATTATTTAAACTAGGAACAGCAACGTTCAGAGAATTCATAACCCTCAATTAAATGGAATTTTTCTATAATCTATTTTCAGAAAAATGGAAAAAATAACAAAATCTCATATCAGGAATTTTTTTTCCCTTTAAGCTAGTAACTCTGGGCTGTTCTGGAGTCTGTAAACTTTCGGTCCAATAAATTTACCTTCAGTAGCCATATTATAGGAAATACAGAATAAGCTTTTATGGTTAAGATAATGTTATGAAGGTGCTGAGAGGTTAATTCTAAAACCATGATTATTTTTAATTATACAAAAAAAAAAAAAAAAAAGGAAAGTGGACCCAAGCTTTTTAGAAAAACTTCTACCAATATGAGGTGAAACAAAAATGGTTTTCCAGATAACTTTCTGTTAATCATAAAATTCAATTAACTTCAAAACCCTTCCCTTAAAATCTCCTGCTTACACAGGATTTATTATGGTTGTCAGGCTTTGGCGCCCTGGCTGAAATTTCATCGGTGGGTTATGCTGTTACACAGTTCACTCCAGATCAGCATATCAAGGATGAGAAAACAGTGGCAGATTCCAAGTTTCCTTTCTCAGGGATCTCTGGGAGCTCCATCTTATCATTGGACTTTTTGTGCCACGGGGCACTTTCAGATTGAAGCAAACATTCTAACAAAGGCTAGAAAATTCCAGCTCTAGCTCCTAAGATTGTGCACCGGAGAACAGTGGTTAAGTGAGCTCCTTGGAGAGCCACAAATAAGTTGCAGGAACGGATAAGGTGTCTTCCCACAACTACAGGCAGGGGAGCCTCAGGCCTTGAAACAGCCCCTTCCACCACAGCCGCCTTCGAGAGGCTCACGCCAAAGTAATACTTTCAGCTTCTTAACCTTGATATTTTACAGTTTACAACCACAGTGACAAACTTTAACATAACATAATATTGAAAGCACAGGGATGGTTTACATGGAGATAAATGGACCTGGGAATAAAGCTGGGTTCCTCTTAAAGGTAAATGGTTGAGGTGAGCCTTCCTTGAAAAAGCAGTCTTGGCTCAGGAGAAGACTGAGTCTTGGCTGAACTCACCTGAGAAATTACCACATTAAATCTTTCCAGGGTGGGCGATATGAAATGGTTCGCTCCAGTACTGAAAAGGTCACTTTTCAAAAATCAAGTCACCTTCACAGATAACTGATTACCATTGTTTGCAAACGAGTAAAAGATGACAGGCTTATTTAATAACATAGACACTCAAGTAGCCAAGTTTAATGAGAAAACCAAAGTTTAGAGCTGACCCAGATTTCTGGAATAAGTTCTTCTAATTCTAATTCTAAAGTAAAGAAGAAACAAACGAGCATGTGTAATTAGTGAAGAGCAATTTCAGCAAACCAATCCCCTAGGGTCCTCCACCCTGAGTCACTGCTTTTTCCTTTTGATGTATAAAGGATGTATGTTGTCTGTCGGTGTAGGGTAATTATGGGAATGTCCCAAATTTGGCATCCTTTCCAGAGTAAGCAACTTGAAAGGAAGATGGATGAAGACAACTCATCTTTGTGTCAACTGTGAATTTCTCTCTATTTGTGTTGCGAATGCTGAAACTAAATTTGAACATTGCTTGGTGTGAGGGCCTTCCAGAGGCCACGTTCTCATGAAACATTCTGTAACCAACTCACTCTCTACTGTCAGATCCTATGAATGATTCACAGACACCCCTAGTTAGTAAAACCCAGACCTTGACCAGCAAAAGCCTGGACCTCCCCAACTACTGAAAAGTATAAATTAATCAATAACACAGACCTCGCCCCCGCCCCAAACCAGCTCTTACTGCTATATAACACTTAAGCTTTACTTCTTACTTAATAGAGCTCTGTTCTCAACTACTGTTGGCTCCTATGTAAATGCATTGAACAGCTCAGGTATTTTAGCATCTCCCAAAGTTACGAGCAAAGATGATATATATGTATTTTAAAGGACCAATTGTAGTTCTTAGGCTTTTTTTTTTTTTTAATTGAGTATCAAGCTAGCTCCCCATTTTTGACATTCTTTTATTCATTCAGTTCCAAATTATGACCTTTTACTGGAATCTCAATCTACCTGGATAACCAGACATAGATTCTACTTGCTGCACTGGGCACTGGTGGGGAAATTAACTAATTAAGGGTGTACTTTAAAAATATGGCTTAAAAAAAATCATATGGACAATGAACAAGCTAGAGAAAACATTTAAATCCCAAACTGGTTTACTTCTGCTTTTTTATGGTTCATCATAAATTACACATTTTAAGGAATGCAAATTAATATTAAAAAGCAAAAGGTTAATATTTATCTTAAGCAAAAGAAGATAAATATGCTATAAAACACATCCTGCAGTTTGAATATAATTATATATGTGTGTTATTTATGCCATTAGCCTAATTAGTAAGGCTTTAATTATAGATAAAACCATGCCCCTCAGTTCAGACCTGTATTTTATTCTTACTACTACATTTCCTGATTAATTTTGGCATCACTGAGGCTGAGCTGTTGCTTCTCTGCACCCTGTTCCATGGGGCCAGAGTTAGGACTTTGACCCCCCATCCCCAGGATGTGCTGTTGCTGCCCCCTGAGCTCAAGCCACTACTGTACCCTGTCACCCCACAGCTTGTGCCACTGCTGTTCTCCCCACCCTGGGGCCCGAATCACTGTGGGAAGCCCCAAGAACTCAGACCCTGGGTCCTTGGAAGATATACACATGCCTGCACATCAGACACTGGCACTACCATCACTGCAAGTGCACCTGTGCCCCAGGACCAAGGTAGTTCCACACGTGCCTGATCCTAGAACCCCGGCTACACTGCCACTGAGTGCCAGCTCACTAAACCTTGTACCAAAATGGATCCCATTGGCTAGAACTTCCTTTCACAGGCGTAAAAGAAAGACCCCAGCAGCAGCCTCTGCCATCGAGGACCCCAATAGCCCTATAGGTATCACTGCCACTTGCAGGACCTCTGCAGTCTGGGCCCCAGCAGTCTTTGCCCAAGTTGACCTCAGCTGATGGAGCTGCACAGAGATTATGCCACTGTGCTTTCCCCAGAATCAGAGCTGCTGAA